AAGAAAAAAAAAACAAAAAAGTGCTTTCAGACTCATCTTTTTCATGATGAAAACCATTCGTTTCTTTAATTTGACACTACTACAGTGAAGGAAAAATCACAAATCATGCATCATGCAAGAAAACGCAGGAAATTTTCAAATCAAAGAGAACAGTCTGAACCAATGCTGCAACACAATACTTCCAACCACGCCCAAATGCCGTCTTCCAAACAAACTACTCGACACTCCATTTTCTACCAACCACCTAAACTGTAGGTATTCGTATTACCAGTCGCAAATCCTCTCAACTAACAAAATTTCAAGAAGAACATACAGAGCGAATTTCTACAATAAGAACAATAAACCGACTTGGAAACCCTAAATGATTCATAAAATAAATAAATCAATCAATCAAAACCTGGCAAGGGAAAAGCAGAGATTGCAGAAATAGGCAGGGTCGATTTGATCGTAACGGTTGACGTGCGAAGTTATACCATCGATGTACAAGGAAATTCTATTCGAGTACATCTCATACGGCAATGGTGTACCCATCTTCAGCCGCCCACCGGAGCAAAACCCCTTCCCTCCAGCTGTATGAACGATGCTTCAGCAAACTCGGAGGCGGGGAAATCCGTAACTGGCCAGTATGTTTCCTTCCTTGCAGAGTAACTAAATTAATGGTGGGAAAATAATATAAATTAATTAATTTTTATATAAATTTCCTTATTTTTATATAAATCTTGATTCGAATTTTGATTCGAGTATAAATCGTTAATAAACTTGATAATCTTTCATATTCTCCTAACCTTAATCTGAACTGAAATGTTTTTATATTTCAATTACTACAAAATTAGGGTTTCATATATTAATTATTCGTAGAATAGAGGAAGTTGAATTAATTAAATGGTGATGTTTTAAATATGAATCAGTGAAGATAATCAACATTAATTAATGAGGAAAAGAACATAAATTGAATTTTCGTGGGCTGCATCCATCACCAAACCCCATTTGGAAAAATCAAAGTTAATTGGTGAGAAAATGAAGTTGGTACCACATTTTCCTGACTCTATTTTCCATTAAAATGATGTGTACACAAAAACTACTCTTTCTTAGGTTATCGTATTATTAATATTAATAATCTTTTAATTTTCTTAATTTAAGCCCGTCTACCCACTCAAACTGTAATAAAATAAGTAAGATAATTCACGCAGATAGCGTCTTAATGCTACAATGAGCACCTAAACGAAATACCATTAGTCAATTTGCCTTATATGGGGCAACCTTCCAGTGACTCCAAGTATCTCGATGGTGTTGCTCGAGCCACACAATTCTTAAATTACATATAATTAAAAATTGACGAGTCCTACATGCGTAAAAGCAACGGTGTGAACATCTTATGTTTGGTAGGAGTACATGAACTTGGTCCATTAAATAGGTTTTTTATTTAAATTACGAGAAAAAAAATTTCAATCCCTTCACACATATAACAAATAAAATACAATCAACCGGTGCCATATATTTATAAGTATATGAATCTTAATTTAAATATTTAGAATTCATCCTAAACAAGTATATGTATGCAAAAAAAAATATAATAATAAAGGGGACAAAAGTAATATTATATATATATATTAATGGAAAATGAAAGGTAGTTGTTAATTTCCACCAATTAGTTCACTAAATAAAATCCAACCACCCAAAATAATCGACAAATATATATATATATAATCGGTAAAATATTTAATTATATTTATATATAATAGTTTATAACAAGGTAGTCACAAAATTTTAAGATTTAAAGTCTAAAATTAATTATATTATGAAAGTTCTCCAATCAAAATTAAAATTTTAACTTAATAACAATAATTAATTATGGAGTTAAAATTCAAAATAAAATAAAATGTAGCATAATGGTATATATCTTCTATTTAATTATTGAAGTTTCGATTTGTTTCACATTAATTTAAAATCTTCTAAAATACCTATTTTGGTTTTTTACTATTATATATCTTTTTTTATTTTGTTAAAAATAAATAAATAGTCATGATAAAAATGTATAGGATTGTCAAATTTTAGATTATTTTTGAAGTTTGAAAGTTAAATTTATAATTTAATTTAAAGAAAAAAAAGTAAAACGAATAAAATTACAACACTCACAAAAAAAGTTTAAAAAATTATATTACTATTATTAAAAATATATCTATTAAAATTTAAAATTAATATTAACACTTTTGAGTATTTTTTAAATATAATAGTGATATTTTTTTAAAAAAAGTTTAATTATATTAAATAAAGTTTTTAATAGTATGGCAATTTTTCTCTTCTTTTTAAGTGTTTAAATGTATTTTGAAAAGTTGAAAGCCTATTTTTATTAATTTATATATATATATATTTATAACTAACAGACCGGAAGACTTGAAAAGACCGTAATAATAAAAAAAAAATAAAAAAAAAATTGTAGAGAAGAAGAGGGGAGTTGGTGGGAGGAATTTTTTATTTTTTATTTTTATTTTTTATTTTTGTAGCGGCGGGGCCCATTCGTTTTTGTCCCAGTTTTAAACGTAATTAAGCTTCTAGAAGCACCATATACAGCCTACCTATTTTGCAACCACCACTCGGAGTTTCCATTTCCTGATTTCCACGTGTCTCACTCTCAACTCTCACAGCCTTTTTCTTTTTTCTTTTTTCTTTTTTTTTTTCTTTTTAATGGTGGCATTACTGTAACGAAATTTTGTGGACTCAATTTTTAACATATACTTAGATGTATTTACACATTTTCCCGTCCCTCAAAATAATTGGAGCAGAAATTAATTATACTCTTAATTATAAAAAATACCCATTTCCTTAAATTCTATCTCCTTAAAACAAAATAATTTCTTTTTTCATATCTTACATTAAAATGAGTTAAATCACAAAATATACCAATCCTTTTTTATTTCAATAGATATTATTACGATCAAATAAAAATAAATAAAAGATTTTAGTTTGGTGGTATGAATGGATGACCAACTTTGACTTAGGTTTCTCGTGAAATGAAAGGTTAATAATGAATAAGCGACCAATAGAAAAGTTTAAATACATTAACCATTGAAAAGACCGTACTATTATTCAATTGGTCATTGACTTTGACTTTGCTTATTTTTATCCGCCTGCCTTGTAGCTTTAGAATTCAAAGTCTTCTTGTTCTCATGTATCCAACCAATTTAGCATCGACATTTTCCAAAGTTCGTGAATAATTTTAGTGTGTGTAGGGTGTTTGATGAACATATATGATATTGAACGTTGATTTGGTGAGACAACCAACTTGATCGAAAAAAATTAATGATCGAGTGCTTCAAACAAAATTCCAATCATTCCCACGAGCAAATGTAAGTCCTTCCCCAATAGCTATTATTATTATTATTATTATTATTATTATCTCATTAAATGCATATCTTTAACTAATTAATTAATTAATTATTCATCCCGTGAGATGATCCGCGTAGAAAATGAAAAATAAAATAAAAATAAAAGCAAAAGGATTGATTTTGGAATATTTTAAATAATCGGTGAACGATGTAAAGGGCGTAGTTGGTGAATTGAATGGAGGAGTAAATTTTACGTCTTTTAGGGTCAAACAGCTTTAAAGCGGAGTTGACTTTATTTAATATTTATTCTTAATATATACCATTATTTATTAATTAATTTCTCCAATAATTTTTCTGTCCATATTCTTTTAATCCCTCTAAACGGTGGCTGTTTTTATTTCCCCTATTTAAAAAAATTATCAAAAATACATCTCGTGATATATTATATATATAATTTTTATAAATCAATAAATTAATCATTGGAATTTAATAAATGGCAAACAGATTGAACTAAAAAAGTGGCAAACAAATCAAAAGAAGTCAATAACACACTCTTCGGATATCCACTAATATGTGACAAATAATCAAATGTTCATATTTTCTTGAATGGGTAATGATTTAATTAAATCATGTTATCTTATATTGTATTATGATGCCTTGTGGTTCAAAATTTCCATCCAAAGCCTTTATTATTAGGTTTCTATGGTTAACATTCATCAAATTGCTCCATCTATGGTGTTTCAAAATTCATCCATTCAAACTATATACATCAAAAAAGGATCATTATGGTAATAATCCTAATATTTTGGGAAATTGCAAAATAAAATTAAAAAGCTAGTTTCTAAACTCGATGGAGCTAATAAACCCTTATATACTCTTCCTAATTGTATGTTAGTTTTTTTTATTGGGTGTTAGATGTGATCAGAGTCGAGTCGAACTTAATTGTATTAGGGAATAATCATGGGTTTGTGATCAAATTTAGGTTTATGTTTATGATTTTCATACGAACCATAATCCATATTGCCTTCTTAAATTTGAATGGAATGGTAAGTGTATGAACGCCATTGTTAGAATTAAGTTTAAAGTATGATTAACTGATTACTCAAACTAAATTCATGAATTAATTAACTGATTACTGAAGCTAAAGGAGCCATTAATTTTGTAATCTTATCGAAAGACATTTAGGAGTTGGAGCAAAATACAAACAATCTGGCGGTCCCACTCCCACATCGTTCTTTCCTCCTAAAAAACGCACAAATATGTATATATTCCCTTTTCCATTTCCGCTCTCTCTCTCTCTCTCTCTCTCTCTCTCATCACTCTGTCCTCTCCTCCCACACCCGCGTCGTCTTTCTTTCTCTTCTCGCCCCACTTTCTCCGGCTCCACCACCACGCCCTTTTTTGAACCCCCAGCTTCTGACGACGCGTTCTGCCACACAATACTTTCCCCCATTACTAACCAAACAAACCCCCCCCCCCCCCCCCCC